TCTTGTGTAGTCATCCATTTGCCTTGAAGTGAAAACCAAAGTTTAATGAAGAGAAAAAGAGAGGGGAAAGTGGCAGTTTAATGAAGTTTGGGAGCATAGGAGACTTGTTTGATCTTAACCATAGGTTGGAATCTACTCCTTACTTGCTTGCGAAGCCATTGGTGGTAAGAAATCTCATTTCCGTTAGAGTTTTTGATAACTTAATTTTAGGTTGTCATTTTGGAAATATTTCATGGATGATGGGGTTAGGTTGATATTGGGTCTTAGTTCATATTGAAATATATGCTAAGAAACCTAAATAATTGGTAGAAATGAAGTTAAATCATCATTTGCACAATCTTTAAGATTTTCGAAAAATGCACATATGAAATGTTTGATTTCTTGCAATGTAAGTAATGTTCCTTGGTGGTTGATATTGCTTGTTCCTTTGAATCATAGGATTGGATTAAGTGGGCAAGTGGTTGGAGATCAACCATTGGATCAAGCCATGGAGATTGACACTTGAATCTTCATTGGATTAAGTTTAGGTAAGTCATCACTTGTGGTGAATAATGTTGACATATTGGCTTACATTTGATGGTGTAAGGTCAATGGTTGTACCTTAGTTTGATGTAAAATGATGTTGTTATTGCCTGTGTGTAGGTGTTGTGGATAACAAGTCATAGTATTTGATTATTGAATATAATCAAGGGTTGGAGGATTTCTTGAGTGGCAAGAAAGGTTTGATAGGAAGCTACTACAGCTAAGCTTTCGGACTTTAGGGTTAATCCCTGATAGTTCCACCAAACTCTGAAGGAGTTGTGGTTTTATATAGTATATGTAATTGCATTTAGATGAAAATAAATGCATTAATATATGTATGTGTATTCTCTATGTGTGAGTCATAAGATGGTGATTCCTTATACGGTGTGTGTTGCAAGACGGTGATTCCTTGCGTAATTCATAAGGTGTTCTCTGACCAGTAGAATAGTTTATTGCACATTTTGCATGGATATGTATATAATGTACTATTTGTCATGTTGCTTTTATGCTTAAGTGAGCTTGGGCAGAAGAACCTTAAAAGACCCCTGGCTTACTGAGATATATATATATCTCATCCTGTGTTATGGAGACCCCCTTTCAGGTACAGCTACTGAGGGTGCAGAAGCATCACAGAGTACAAGGCCAGGCTAGAGTGCCATGATATTGCATGCATATGGGAGTTATTTTGAAGTACATTTGTAACTCACCTATCATATATGTATTTTGGAGAGCATAGGAGATGTCTATGCCTCTTTTGATTATGCATTTATATATATGTAGAGACATATGTATAGGTTTATACTTTGATGTATCTTTTGGTAGATAACTGATGCATAATGTATATGGTTCAGTTGCAGGACTTATATATGTATATTCATATAACATGTAATGGGCTTGATGTTATTCCATTTGATATATGTATATGGTATATGTTGATATTATGTTATTAAGCCTTGATTTGGTTATATGTATGTAGGATTAAATGAATATCATGTCTATTAGGTCCTATATGAGTTTGGGGAATGACCCATAGTTCAAAATGTAGCAAAATGCTGTCAATTTTGATTCTGTCCAGTGGGGAATCAATTCCCAAGCAACAAGGGATGTGATTCAGCTAATGTCTAGGAATTTTAGAAGCTTCGCAGTGAACATGGGAGGTTTTGGACAAGATAAACATAGTTTAGTAGACTGGTCATATCTTGAACTACGAAACTCTAAATTGAGTGAGGTTTGAACCTATGTGAAGCTAAAACATAGGGTATAATTCTGTAAACTCTCATGGCCATTGAGTATATGTATCATCCTCAGTTTAATTTTTAAGTTTCTGCCCTGTTTTCGAAGATTTGGTTTAAAGAAGTTGGCTTGCGACGAATGTATCTTGAGCTATACAGATCCAATTGAGGCTTATGATATGTCGTTGGAAAGCTTAAGATGTTTAGTTTAATATAGTAAGATGATAATTAATAATGAGGGCTGACAGTTCCAATTTTAGGAACATTAGGGTTGTTCAGTGATGATAAAATGACATTAGAGTATGTTTTACACCTTTAGGTTTATGGTATTTCCTAATAAGAGATTGTAAAAATAAAGATGTACGCTTTCGAATATGTAAGATTTACAATTAAAGTATTTGTTAGAATTGAATACGAACTTTATTAATGACAGTGAACGTAAAAGTAAAGACAAATTTTTATCCGTAATTCTAATCAATTACTTTTATTGTAATTGTACTGTAATACCATAATGTATGATAATACTCCGGCTCGAGACAGGGTGTTACACTTTCCAATTTCCATGTTGCACCATTCTTCCATGTTTTTTCTTCAACTTTTCACAATTGCGCCCAAAAGGCCACTAAATGAATAGTGGAATGTATTTGATCCATATGAAAAGAAAAGACACTGTAAAGTAGCTTTATCTTTTTTGTAAGTTCTAAAATATCCTTGTGATCTAATCATGTTCATACACAATAGAAACAATTAGATCTAATACGAAAAAATTAATTGTCATAAATACCTCTTGTCGTTGCTTTCCTTACTTGTTCTGATAACGGGTTGAAGTAGTCCACGAGTCAAGTAGTAAGCGAGTTTCCGTGAGCACTTTTTGGATCTTCTAAGCTCTAGCTCTCAGGCACAGATAGTGTATAACATATATCCAAGAGTGAGCTCAGGGGCCCCAAAGTCTGAAGTCGCACCATATATAAACCCTAACCATCAAGGTGTCTGTTATTAGTGATGTGCACAAAATGTGAGTTGTATGGTGGGATTTTTTGCCTGTTGTGAATGACTGTTGCTAAAAAAGTGTTAAAGTGGTTAAACACTGTTACACAAAATCAGTGGACCACATCTTGGACTTATTTTCAATTAGTTACGGAGATTACCGAGAATAGAGACACACTTACATTTTAATCATCCTTCGTTAACACACCACTCGTGAGTGTCTCCTCCATAAACACCACTAGTCTATAGATCCTATAGCAATATTTAATCCTCTAGATCAAACAATTTACTTCTCATAAAACTTTAGTGAGGCAACATATTTGCATAATAAAGAATTACTTGTATCATAAAAAATATTTGCATTAATATTAAACATGCTTACAAGTTCTTGTTAGTGTGGATAGTGTAAAATGACACACACGAGTGATTGGATAATTGTGTAGTGCCATATACGACCGCATTTTGTGATCCATGAATGCTTCATGAACACATTGGATTCGTATTCCAAGTCATCAAGAATTGATGTTCTTCAAGATGCAGATAAATTAAGTTAGCTGCCACCTGTTTTTGAAACTGAATAATAGTCGTGTGCTAGTATAGTGTCAGATATGTTACAGGCACCCAACCAAGCGATGTTGGCGCTCAAATTTAAAAGAAAACCTATCCTTGGTTTCTGTGCCGGAGGTGCCTCCTTTAGCCTGCTTCTTTAAGGTCCATTACAATCCAGATAATTTATAACACTTTGTGTAACTTCTCCTCCATCCATGTAGGACCCCAAGCAATATAACCACACACACAAGGCATTAATATCTTACCATCTATGAAAAGGACAACAATTCCGGGATATACACATAATACCAACACTAAAATAAATGGTGAAAGTTCTGACTTGTGAGGGCCATTGAGTGTGAGACTTGTTCACTGTAATAATTTTTTTAGGTTCCCTCTCTGACCATTAACATCAAGTCTAATTTAAACAATACAAGGATTCTCTCTGGCTGTTCCTCGACATACTTCCATTAATATTTACACATAGTTCATCTTTAATATCAGTCTGCCATGTCTCACCCCATCCTCATGAATTAGAGATTCAGTTTTAAAACATGCAATCCGTGATCATGCTTCTACAGTTATGTCAGTTGCCACAATTCAGTTGCTCTCCTTACAGGGCATAATTTTATTTATTTGTTTTTCATATAAGACAATTATGTGCCACTTTCTCTTGCAAGTGCAATCACTTTAACCTTATAATTTAGGACAAAGGTGGGTGGAGGACTTAAACACTGGCAAGTGTCCGATAGTGACCTCACAGTAAAGGAAATAAAATGCACCTCACCTTGTCTTTATATCAAATTAGTTCTCATTTCTCAGTGCCAAGTGCCAACCTTACTATAGATTGGGGACCATGCACCTCTTTCTTAGAAATAATGAAAGATTTGTCCTTCAAAAGGGCCATGGGACAGATGATAATTAATATGTTATGCACCAACTTAACCAGGTTTGGTATGCGAGTTAAGTGTACCAGTAATTCTTCTCAATGACCCAAATTGAATTTATTGTTAAAAGCAGTAGCTGATGCTGCTGAGGAGGCGCATTAAGAAATTACTATTAATTGTATTTCCAAAAACAAATTTGCATGACAAAAAGCAAAGACCTCTTAAAGAATTAAATAAGGACTATATATTTTAGGGGTCCTAAGGTTTCAAATTTGGCTAACAAGAAGTTAGTACGCAAGTTCTTCTTCTAATTTTTAACCCACCCCACTACCTTTAGCTTTGCATCTTAATCAATGCCACTGCACTTTAAACAGCACCTAGTCAAAAACAAATACAATATTTATGATAAATTAGATGCTAAAGTCCTCAAACTTAAATTCTTTTCTTCAATTATCTTTATTCCAAAGAGGAACAACCACTGAATCAGCGGGCAAAATCTCTGTAAATGTTGGGACCCCAAAGTACTTTGGCCCTCAGCTTTGAGCTTTCATGTGTAGAGAGACAGAGGGTTTGAAAGGGACAGAGAGCATGGGATGCCGTGGACAAAAAGGTAGGGTTGAAACCTAGACAGAGGAAATAAAACCCTTTAGAGTACAATTGTTTTTCTCTTTTGGTAACCTTAGGAAAATACTTACCATCTCCACGTCTCTTTATATATATAAATCTGAGTTAGGACAAAATTGGAGAATATACAAGAACTAGATCAGATTGATACTGTCTATCTGCTCTAGAAGATATTAGAGCCTCTTGCAAAAAAAAACCTCACCTTTTCACAGTAGAACCACAAATGCTGTTAAGAGAAACCATACGCAAGACCAAGGCTTTATTTCACAAAAGCCTAAGAAATTTTAAGTCTTTCATCCTTGGAAGGTACCAAAAATTACCCAGATCTCTTTCCTTCAATCCATTCCTTGGTCGCAATGCCAATGCAAGAACTTACACAAGCGATCAATTTTACAATGAGTTTTATGAAATACTGCAGTCTGATCTGAATAGAATAAAGAGTAATGATGACATTGGCATGATCAGGACAAGAGAGCAAGTAATGGGAGATGCTGCAAGTAATGGAAGCCTTATGAGTTTTGACAAGCAAATTCAACCAAAGAGTATTCCCGAAGATGGAGCAAAAGAGAAGAAAAACAAAGGGCACTCTCAAATAGGAAAGAAGGAAGAAGACATGAATGAAAGTGCTCATGTTTTAGCACAAAAGATGAAGGAATTGGAGATGATGGATACCGGTGATGTTGAGCATGTACTAGACGTAGAAGAGGCACTTCACTACTATTCTCGCCTTACAAGTCCTGTTTATTTAGATATCGTTGACAAGTTTTTCTCCGACATGCACTCAGAATACTACCTTCCACAGTCCTCTGTCAGCATCAAACGCTCGAAGTCAAAGGGAAGACTTGGCCCAATCAGGTTGTAGATAAGATAATCTTAACGCAAAGATTTTTATAGTGTGTATATGAAATCTGTTTTGTTTCACTTGTTTGTGCTTCTCCTAGTGTGCTGAATGATTTGAGTTTGTTTGGTTTGAATTCCAGCTATTTACATCTTTTTCTTTTTTTCTTTTTTCTGGTTATTTCATGCTTGAATTGAAACTATATTGTCCATTCATCAATAATGGACTACTTAGAATAAAAGAATCTCTAGCCCTGTTTGTAAAATTTCCCATTTTGTTAACTTTTTTTAAGTCCATGATTTCTTTCTCAGGCATGCTTGGATCTTGATAGAATTTCAAATTTTGTTTGGTTGTTTGATATGCGGGTGAGAAAACAAAAAAAGCATTCAAGTCTGTAGCAATTATAGCTACTAAAAATCTATGTTAGAGCAAATCGTGTAGCTTCGTTCCGTTGGCGCATGGGAACTAAGCAGGTGGAGGTGAGAGCATGTGTTCGAATCTTTCCAGTAATTTTTGGGAGGAGTTTAAAGCCTTAATCCTCGACCCGTCCCGAATCAGATTAGTAGCGAAGCAACAATTGAAAGAGGTCGATAAACCAGTGCCAGTGTCATTGCATCTTGAATAAGGGTAGCAGTGACCTTTTTTCTCTTTAACGAGAAAAGTCACAAAAATCAACTCCAAGGAAAATAAATAAATAAATAAAATCAGGGGTTGGTCCTGAACCTCTTCCTGGTGTCGGTGTTGCGATTCTTGATTTTTTGAAAGATACTAGAAGGTATAGCAGAAGCATAAGGAAGCTCATCTCTGCATTGGTCCGTTTTAAAGACAGAGTTCCTGAGAGGGAAAGAACGGGAATGGACATAATCAAGTTGCAGGGAAACAATGAGAACCTAGTGGCGTGGTGTAAATGGGTTGGGCTAGTCTAGACTTTAGCTTAAATAGGTCAGGTCTGTGATAAAAGTATTAGGTATGGCATGATCTATTAGCTTGTGTAAGCTCCAAAGTACAAGTCTGATTATATTTAAAAAATAAAAGTTAAACATTCAACAATTAAAAGAATAACTAAAATAATATTATTTTATTATTCAAAGTTATTAAAATAATAATTTTATTTATTATATTTTAAATAAATAATATGATATTAGTGCTAAAATAATATTTTTGTAATTTTATAGGCTATAGACTTATAGGTTAGACATGTACAAAAAAGTCTATGGCCTATTTTCTAAATAAATATTTTTAAAAGTTTAGACTTGTTCTATTTTACTATTTATAATAAATCAAATCTGGCCTAATATAAGCTAGGCCAGCCTAGCCTATTTACACCCTTTCCTCCTACTGGGTGCGATTCTTGGTTGAGTGAGGTTGGTCACGTTGCATAAACAATATTTCACTTTAGCACCATATTATTCACTTTTTAAATTGCTTCGAATAATAGCCCTTCACAGTAGAAAAACTACTTACTATAAATGTCATATTTTCGTTCAAAATAAGAGTATATTTAGAATAAAAAGGTATATTTTTTTCACCAGAAAATAAAATAATATTTTAAATCTATGATTATTTTTTAAAAAACAACAACAATTAATATGTCAAACTAAAATATACTGTAAAATCAAGATATTTCAAATCGATTAAAAAAAATCAGTTCGAGAGTTTGGATTTGGTAAATTTTTTGAATAGCATGAACCGAATTAGTGGGTTGTGTTGTGGTTTGTATCGCTATATATTTATTTTATTTTTTCTCAAGTATTTTCTTCCATTTGGTTGATAATAATTCCATCGTAGTGGCATTTATTTAACGGTAAAAGCGTATAACATGATCGCACTGACGATATTAACTTAATCGTAATTTCACTGGCAAAAAAATTTATTTATTACATTTTAATTAAATAATTACGCATGTATGACAGTTCGAGAAATAAATACAAATGTACTGCACAACGTGACGCCACATGTCCCCCATTGGGGCGTTACATTGTACACCCTATATAATCCTCCACTCCTCTATTCACTCTTCACACCTCTTCTCTCACTCTTCATATCTCTTCTCTTCAATTTAGTATTTGAATTTTATTTCTTATTCTATTTTAGAATGAGTTCCCGTCCTGATTTTGTTCGTGTTGTGTTATATTACAATGGTAGGAAGGTAGAAGGTCGACGAGGTGTCATGTTTGAAGGTGAAAAAAGGTCGACATGTATCCAACGCAACGCAACCATTGGCGAATTGCATCAGAGAATTCAACAGAAGTTAAGTCTTCAAGGCAACCAATGTATCACTCAGATCACGACAAGGTTATGGCAATGTGATAAATACATTAGTTTGCAAGTGGTTGACGATGAAGACCTGGAGATGACAATGGAAGAATTTTCCAACCAGTCAAGGACAGGTTTTCTGGAGTTGTATGTCGACATCGCCGCAACCGAGAATGTTCTGTTACCGGTGAGGTCAGTTGATTTAAATTCTCCCTGTCTTCCATCTTTGTCTGCCGCTCATGCGTCTCCAGTTGGTAACTATTCTGAGGGAGATGAAAATGATCCGACTTGGGAAATGAACGACGAAGACGACGACGATGATGATGAAAATATCGCAATGGAAGAACGTCTTCTTGCGGAGGATGCTAGTGCTTACGAAGGAGATGAAGCTGCTGAGATGGGTGCGTCTCAATTCCCAATATTCCATGACCCAGTGGTCGCGCAAATGCCGCAGTTGCATGACGTTGCGTCTGCCCCATTAGGTATTCATCATGAAGGTAATTGAGATAACTTGTATATAGTTGAATTTTGCACCTGATATAATACCTGAATTAGGAAGTTTGTATTAAAAAGTTACAATCCGCAGTTGCAGGTGACGAAGCTGTAATTCCTTTTTGGGAAGGAATTCTGCATTATTCCTACATTGATTGGAGTTATCGGAGCGAACAAGAATCATGCACTGATGGTACGGTCTCAGGATCGGGTTCAATACAAGGTCCGTGGCAACTGGGTGACAAGTTATTTGTCAATCAAGAATTTGCTACAAAAAAAGATGTCCAAATGGCACTTAAGCACCACCTCATCAGGGAGCATCAAGAAGCAATTGTAATTGAGAGCACACCTGCAAAGTTATCCATGAAATGTTGTGCGTATGATAAGGGTTGCCCGTGGCGCGTTAGGGCCATGAAACCAGTGTTTGGTGAAAATTGGAAGATTACGAGATGGGGTTGAGATCACAATTGTTTGAATGAGCACATTTCCCAGGGACATAGACAGCTCGATGCGGACGTTATAGCAGATCTCGTCATAGGTACGTATTTATTTATTTGTATGACATGTCAACATTTACGTACTGCTGTGTAATTAAATTTTTTTGATGTTATTGAGCCTGTGTACTCTTCAATGCAGGGATGATAAAGGAAGAACCATCTGTGTCAATCTCTTTGGTGCAAGAAAGGATAACCTCTAAATATGGCTTTAAAGTTTCCTACAGAAAGGCGTGGTATGCGAAGCAGAAAACGATGGCAATTATGTACGGTGATTGGGAGGAATCGTATACTTTTTTGCCAAGGTGGTGCGAATACATGCTTCGCTTTTCTCCAGGTTCATTTTATCATATCCAAACAAATGATCTTTATGCAGAGCAGAGCTTAGTGACTGGAAAAAAGGTGTTTCATCGCATATTTTGGACGTTCAGACAGTGTTGTGAGGCGTTCAAATTTGCCAAACCCGTCATACAAATTGATGGAACACATTTATATGGGAAGTACAAAGGCAAATTGTTGGTGGCCACGACCCAAGATGGTAATGATGAATGTTTACCGATTGCTTTTGTCATTGTTGAAGGCGAGACCTTGGATGCATGAGACTTTTTTCTTGTTAATATCAGTGCACTGACATGTCAAACATATGTTTGATCTCCGATCGGCATCGTAGTATAATATCTGAATCGGCCAATGTCATCAAATCCTCCCCCAAGCAACAGGACTAGCCGACAACCGAAATTGCTGCCTCCAGACTTGTCTGCCAGCAACCAAGAACCCAGCATCCTGGCAATGTGCGCCTTTGTGAAGTAGATCTCGGCATCATGATCCTCGGCATGATCGGTCCACCGGGTATATAACTGATCTAAGTATGAGATATGCAGGTTGCCTGAATGATGGAACTCATTTGGCTGTGGAACTGCGCCAAATACAGCCCCACAAGCAGCGGGCCGATCCTCAAAGGTAGAGCCGGTGACGACAGCCCCGTCAGTAGGCAAGCCCAATATGCCTGCCACATCTCTCAAGGTGATAGTCATCTCACCTTGGGTCATGTGGAAAGTATGTGTCTCTGGTCTCCACCTCTCGGCCAGACACTAATTAAAGGGGCATCGATCTGTGATAAATTAATACATTACAGCGTGTTAACGAATGGTATTGAATAATTACATAAATACAAAACAACGTAAATTGCAAACCTGGATATGTCGCATCCGGGCAACAGGTATAAATCCAGCCTGTGTCAGGTAGTCTGCAACAACCTTTGGGATAGCGCTGGTAGGTGGCCCCCCCCGTTGGCTTCCCATGTCTGGTCTTTATTTTCCTGACATGCTCCGTATTCCACACTCGCTGTGAAATATGAGCATGCTGCGTCCTCTTACGAAGGACGTCCCATCTGTACAACCCGGGTATGATGTACATGCTGGGATCGGTAGACTCTACATCCGATGCAGAACCCGATGAAGATGATGAATCAACCATTACCCTCAACTATATCATATAAAACAACATTTAAATTAATCACATGTAATGCCTCATTTAATTTACAAATTAATTAAGCAATGCCATAATTTATTATCAAATAATTTAAGCATATGCGTCATTTATTTTACTAGAATCGAAATTAATGAAATAATGTTAATACTATTGACAGTCATTTATTTGTAATTAAATAATAAAAAAACATTGGACAAAAATAATATAATACTTACATAACACTTAACCCTAGGCCACTAATAACTTCATAAATATATACTAATAATCACACCTAACTGACTACAAAATTATGAATACACTCCCGCATTAATAACATCATACATACAAAATTTACAAAGTCACTATCACTACTTTCTAAATCACTAATTAATACGCTAAACCCTAATGCATAATTAAATATTAATAATAATAACTACGTAACAAAAAAAGGGAAGTATCATTACAACATTCATAGCATGGCATATATTTCTAAGTGACTATCCTAATGTTCTAAGTCTCTAATATACAATCAATCCTAACATGTATTACTAACTACCACTGTAATTTAAACGTATACATAGGAGGTATTACGACCTTACCTAAGTTGGCAAAGCTTCGCTACGAACCGTGGTTAGAGAGAGGTAGAGAGAGGTGAATGAGTGAGGAGTGAAATGGTGAAATGGAGGATTATATAGATGGACCATGAGACGCCCCTTTTGGGCGTCACATGCGACGCCTCTTTGGGGCGTCTTCTCCTTCATGAGAGACGCCTAAAAGAGACGTCACATAATGCAATAGATCTGTAATTATTCCCCAAACAGCAATAAATGCGTAATTTTTTAATTAAAATGCAATAAATAAATTTTTTTGCCTAATTTCACTATGATATATATAAAAGCATTACTACAACATGATCGCAGCAATGCTTTTAGAAGTGCAAACTAGGATGTATTTACATTAACAGAACACGTCCGTAACCTGAAATTATAATTATATGAATTGATTTGCGAGTCTGTATTAATCCACTGCAGAATAAGTAGTATCACAATAGTAAAAATATAAATACTCTATTGATCAATCAAACATCAATTGAGAACTTTATACATTGATACAGTGCCTTGAAAGCGGCACGTAAAACCAATACATGTCTACAATCTTAGCAGGGTAAAGAGAAAAAATGAAGACTCCAAACTCCAGCTTCCTATCCCGAGGGGAAGAGCCAAGGTACAAAATAATGATGAATCAACTAGTATGAATGCCACTTCATATCCCAGAACTCACATAATCTTCAACTGAATAACAGAAATGCATGTTTCCGACCACCTAAATAAAACCCTTTCTCTAGGAGTCTGTTGTAACTTATATTATTAACCAGTAGATGAAACCAAAACATTATGCTCCTTCAAACGTTTCTGAAAATTAGCTAAACGGGTTTGTAACTGCAGGATGCCAGCAGCCTTATGAGAAAGAATGGCATTTAGTCTTGTTATATAATCATCCAGCTGATTCCCTGGTTGATCTGCTTCAACCAAGAGGTTCATCTCCTGTATGTCAAGTGCAGATAAAAATATGAATATGAAAAAATCATCGACTTTGCACCATTCACTGAGGGGTGCAGTGGCAAGGACAGTGTTAAGGATTTCATTTTTCTCTTTTCTTCGCTCTATTCATATTTCCTAGAATTAATAATACCTCCACTCTAACAATAAATGAAATGATAGAATAATAATAATGACAATTCAAATACCTCTCTAACAAGATTCATGGTCTCCTCTACTTGTGTCCGGTGAGCATTAACAAGGTCCTCTTCTTCCTGAAATTATGACATGCTTTGGGTAACAATGAGCCCTTTGTTTTTTTTACATAAAAACAATTTTCTCAGTAGCTAGTGATTTACCTGTAAGAGGGCATTTAAATCATCCTCTGAATGTGCAGTTTTACGTTCAACTTTTGGGAGGTCCTTCCATTTGATCTGACCACTGGGTTTCTTCAATTTGTCATCTATTGTATCATATGGCTCCATCTTTCCATTTTTCTTCAAAGGTGGTGGTTTCACCTGCTCGTAGTACTCTTCAGAGGGACTAAGATCATCCCCTTCATTTTCATCATCCCATGTATCAGCAGTGCGATCCTCATAGGCAGATGCTTTAACAGATAAGGGAACCGTAGTTGATTCTTTGAGGTTGAGATTCGAAGATAAAACATCCTTCTTAGAGTTGTTACCTTTCGATAGGCTTTTTACCCTGCATTTTCATTCAGTTTGTAACCGTGAAACCATGAATTTTCTTTATCTTTTTGTGCACATCGGGGGTTGTATTGTGTCTCTTTGTGAGGTGTGGTGTGGATGGTTTGGAGAATTAGGGGATATAGAACTACATTTAACAGAAAATTCATCGTTACCTGTCAGCATATCTTAAAGTATTCAGAGTATGTTCGCATGACCCAGAGCTTGGTGATATGCATGATATCATAACAGTGCGGGAATTGCCAACAAATGAATCCCTCAAAACTTCAGTCAGTTTACTGCCTCTGAAAGGGATGTGTCCTTGGTCATTATCAAGGGCTCTAATGCATTCCTTTAGGGCGAGTAAGCTCTTATTGATTTCAGCACCTTCTATTCTGTGTCATATAATTAAAAAAACAAGGAGGACGAAACAAAAAAAACTCATTAGACTGGTTTCCGAACGCATGTGGAATGCTTACAATTCATGATAGCATATATTGAAATAAAAGTAGTGATTATAATCGCAAATTTAATATATTGTATCATATGGAGTCTAATCTAATTTCCTAAGTAATTTTCTCTCTCGTGGTCTTTTAACTTAGATAAGTAACAACATAAAATGGTATTTAGAAGTTTACTCATAGTGCAAATCCACCTCATCTATTTCAGGCTCAATCATACCTTGTCTGTTTGTCATTATCTGTGGTATCTGCTCCACGTTCACTTCCAGCAAGATCTATGAAGGAGAGCTTGCCAACACCCCGGGGAGGTTTGGATTGATTGCCATCAACTGACCTCTTGATAGCAAGCTGAAGTATTGCATGTGACCGTGAAGATTCCTCATTTGCACCCGTGGTGCCCGTACTTCTTGCGGCACTTCCTTTCTCAATCAATTCTTTGATGTCCTCCACATCCGATACTCGGTACTCTTGCAAACCCACAATGCAAACTTGCTGCTTACCATCCTCCCTCATGCAAAGTTTTCTGCACAAGTAGAACTTTAAAACCAAAGAACACAGAGATTACAGGTGCAAACAAGAAGGGATTTGACTTACTTTCGATCATTAAGGAGATCAAAAAGCTTCCCACCATATATTTCAAAGAAACTGACAAACAATTGAAATCCCTGGTTCCTGTAAGTATGATGCATCAATCTCAAGATGTCCCTTGATGCTTTAAGTGGAAGTGGCTTCATTGTGTAGGTTTTTCCACTTCCTAGAAAAGCAGAAAATGGTATTTAGAAGTTCACTCTTAGTGCAAATCGTCAGTCATGGTGGTATGAAATATCGGGACTGCAAAATCTAGATTTACCTTTACTAGAGACAAGAATTCAGCTTGGACATAAAACAAAGTAGGCATTAATGAAAACACATTTGGGAATATCAATCACAGATTCATAATACCCAAACTAAACGGCAAACAATAAATAACCAAAGACGATAACCTGAAGTGAGCAACAAAAAGTTTAAAAAATTTTACATCCTCATCGGTCATGGCTAAAACTCAAACTTTGGAAGGCGAAACCAAACCGCCTTACCAGAAAACTCCAAAGAGATATATGATATGAAGCAGAAGTATCACTTCACAAATAGGCATAAAATCGGAATTTGTCTTCAGACAGACTATAACACTACTAAATCAAATTTGAGAGGCTGCTATCACCTGTTTGGCCGTATGCAAAGCAAGTTGCCTTAGTGCGATCAAAGATTATTGGAACTATGGGCTCCACTGTTTCATGATACACCTAAGGAAACAAAAAGTTCGTACAAAAAAGTTGCATAAGTAAGGATATATCACATGTGTTGTCAATTCATTCTTTTCAACTGAACATTTTTACATTATAGTTACCTCATCGTTCGTAACCTCCTCATTCAAGACAGCATCAAAAACAAATTCATGCTTCTCTACATACTGAGTAAGGTCAACCTGCAAAGCAAAAAAGCATATAGATTTTAAAATCTTTGAATATAAAATGTCTATTATATTATCACACAAAAACTTTTCATGAGAACTGCCAAGCGAGGAAATCAGGGGGTAAAATAATAAATCTTGGCCCAATACTATCCCTGGAAAGCTTATTTAATTTTTAAAATAAACATACAGATAATTACACTCAACATATTTTATAGAATGGTTTCTATTTTTCTGTTTGGTCCTGTACAGATTACCTGTATTGTTTTCATGTCCCACATTTCAGATTCACCAAGAGAAAAATTTAGAAATATCAGATACATAGGCAGCACCATAATTGATTTCTTAGTTCACAAGTCATTTTCAGTAGCTAAATCTTACATTTCTCAAACCTAAGGACACTTATACCACATTGGAACTATTGATTGATATTGCCTCTTACACTCACCTTCAGTTTAGTCTCATGCACTGTTAAAGAATTGGAATATGTTTCTATAATGTCTTCCTCATTCTTTGCTAACTCCTTCTTATTCATTGGTCTCTTACGAACCTGCATTAAAATAGTAACAACAAATATCAGAACAAAATAAAAAAGTAATGCTTTTCAAATTGGACAAGATTTAATTTTCATTTTCAGACAACTCCATGAATTTTAAACTTAGTTCTACGTGTTCAACGATAGTTGTTGTGTCAATGCAGTCTTCGTTTCAAATTTACTAGCAAACAGTCAGCAAAAAAACATTTAAAATGAAAGATAAAAGCATCAATTAAAAATGAAACGTCGATGGTAAATTGAGATATGCGAGAGAACATACCACAACTTTAATCTTTGCTACAGAACTAGATTTCTCTTTGTCTGCAGGTAAACTTTTCAATAGGTTTTCAGGAGCACGAGCTCTGCCAGTCTGTTTACTCAACATGTAAGGTTCAGAGTCATCAAAGCTTCTACCCCGGATAGGTTGATACGGGGAGTTGGTATCAAATGCATTGGAGGCTGGAATCTAGCAGGATAGAAAAGATATAAGCAAATTTAAGCTACGTTTTCCATGTGCATCCACTTACAAAGAGAAAATTAGAGAACACCCGTCCTAGTTCAAAACAAATTAACTTTTTAACTTATGAGAACCGTGCCCACCCGTACCTAAATGATCAACTTAAGAATTGAAATCTCAACGCATATATGTAAAGAAATCAACGATCATATCTGGATTGAGGAAATGATTTTAATCGTCACATCACATGAAAAGGAAAGAATAAATAAAAAAACACAAGGTTATAACGCTTTTGCACAAGTTTAGAACTAAAGATCTGTTGAGGCTGATGAAACAATTTTCCACAAGTCAAATTTTGCACAGTGTGAACACTTCCAAGGGCTAGAACTAAATAATAACCTCAGGAAGAAGCTCAGTGTCAAATGAATGCAGATCCAACAGGCCGGGGCTGAAATCACCGGGTGAATCTTCTCCATTCTTTTTCTGCGTCGAAGCACGGTAAGAACCGGGAGGTGTGGATGGCTCCATGTAATAATCAGTTCCTCCATTAAAGCTCCTCTGTGCATTCCTGTTCATTCTTCCTCCAAAGTTATAGTCCTGCTCGCATTTTCAAAGAATCGTATCAAATCAAAATGTTCATACACAAAGGTAAAAAAACAAGATCGTTAGTGACTCATCACAAGGAAGGGGAGAAAGTGAGATCAGAAGAGAAGAACCTGAAGCGGATTGGCAGAGGATTGAAGGTGTTGAAGACCAGCAGATTGGAGCCACCTGTTGCCGTTGGAGGAGCCGTCGAGAAAGTTATCGGAGTACTGTCGCTGGTGATGCACCCCCGTCGCACCAGATCTCAGCCCCTGTCTCCCTGCACCGTTCATCTTCCCGTGCGATCAGATCGAAACGGAAGGGACTGAGAAAGCTGAGATGATGAAGCACAATGGATTGGAGTGAAACCGAAGATATAGGAATGGATAGAAAGATACGAGAGCAGCAGCAGCAACAACAACAACAAAGTGTTGTACTGAAATGAAGGAAGGCTTTGAAATTTTTTTTTTTTGAAGAAGCGTCTCTCTGGCTGGCACGTGCGAATTGTTTGAATAAACGACGACGTAGTGTGGTAGGTCCCGTTGTTTTTTGAACTTGTCACCGTTCCACATGGGTGGGGACCATCGCTGTCTTTTGTCTATTTATCGTTGCGCGCTTGGCTTCACATTCAAAAATTCTGAGGGCCTTTTAAGACCTCATGCCACGTGGCATCATCCTGTGCTGGGTTTGCTCCGTAATGGCAACTCAACAGAACAATTTGCGGCGCGGCCCTGTATTGTTTGGGCCCAGGTTTCCGGTTATTTCTCCTTCTTTATGGAGCCTGCCTGCTTGTTCTGATTTTTATTTTTTTAATTTAAACCTGTCCAATATAAAAATAATTAAAAAATAAAAGTTTAGTGAAGTGAAGGTTTTTTTTTTTTTTTAGTACAAAGGAGATAAAAAAAGAAAAACAAAAGCAAGAACTAAACGAAAGAAATCTCTGAGTCCACAAGAGGACTTAGCTCCACTAGGATATTTGAGAGGTATACGGCATCCTCCTACAGTTCAACGCTGATTTTGCTAGTCAATCAGCACAAGCATTCGCATCCCTCCTAACATGGAGAAAGATGACCTGCCAGTTCCTATTGCTCCATTTCTTTATGATGTCCACCATCTGATGGGAGAGGGTGTCATCCCCTTTACGGACAATTTCTTGGATCGCCCTAAGGCAATCACTTTCTACAATCAGCTGCTGAGCCCCCTTGTCCCAAGCTACCTACAGCCCCTTGTAGATCGCCCAAAGCTCGGCTGACAAAGGAGAGCACATTCCAATCTTATACATATAACCAGATATCCATCCGCCTTTGTTATCCCTGATAAGACCTCCACAAGCTGCTGAGTTTGTGGTGAGTTTGATAGCGGCATCAGTATTGAGCTTCCACCAACCCAAATGAGGGGGAACCCATTTCACATGCTCCCTACTCAGACAGGATGTTTGAGTCCGGGTTGGTCTAGTCAGGCTGGACTTGATCTCCCCTAAATATGACAATATGTTCATTAACGGTATATCTGGTCTGGTGAATTGGGGATCATGAATATCCTTATTTCTCCAAAGCCAAAGAAACCAAGTGGTGGTCATGAAAATATCTATCCAGTTTAGGAGCTGAAAATGGGGCCATGCATTACTAAGATTCGCTCGAATCCATTTATCCAGAGGTAATGTTAGGAAATCGTCCGGGATGGAGCCACAAAACCAAGCATTCCAGATCGGATACGCATGTTTGCAGTCACGGAGGACGTGGATGATGGACTCCACTTTGTTAGGGCAAGCGTAGCAATATGGAGAACCACCCCAACTAGCAGTAAGTTCCCTAGTAAGGATTCGTCCGTGATAGATTAGCCATGCAAAATTGCATATTCGTTTAGGGCCTTTCCATTTCCAGATAAGGTTCCATAACCTATCCGGCAGAAGCGTCTCGAAATTCATGAGCTTTGAATAAGCATAGCTGACAATATTCTTTGGACCAATACACTCTTTCCATGCCAAACGATCCTCACCCCTGGCGTCTTGGGGGGGGGGATGATAGCTCGAATGATTTGGATAGCCTCCATAGGGAGATACTGGTTCATCATGTCGTCGCGCCACCCTCTGAACTCATCATCAACCATATTGGCTGCCCTGAGGTCCAGATCAATCGAACTGGGGTCAGTAGTCACTACCTCTATAAGGGGTTTGTTGAGGGGGGTCCAGGTATCCTGCCAAAAGAGAACCTCTTTTCCATTATGAATGTCCCACTGGAGATTATGAAGAAATGCTTCCCATATGTGACCAATACCTTTACAAAGACTTGAGTCGTAATTTTGAACCTTAATCCCTCTGCGAAGCATCTTCCTAAGGTATTTGCCTTTAAGCACCTGCACCCAGAGGGACTCGTTATTATTAATAATCCTCCAAGCCACCTTAAACAAAAAAGCATTGTTATGAACTTTGAGATTATGGATTCCAAGACCTCCAACATTCCTTGGTCTACATAACTTGTCCCACGAGATTAGGTGCACCCGTTTCTTGTCAATAACATCTCCCTATATGAAAGCATGTTGGATCTTCTCCACTTCCTCGCACACCACCACTGGGAGGTTCCCATGTTGCATATGGTACACTGGGATGGAGCTGGGAACCGAATTCGCTAATGTTACACGCCCAGCGAAGGAGAGAAGTTGACATTTCCAGTTGGGTAACCGGGTTTTGACACGATCAATCACGTTGGAATAGTTCCTTCTCCTTCCTCGACCATGAAAAAGCGTTGCTCCAAGGTATTTGCCTAGCGAATCAGCAACTTTGAAACCACTAGCATGGGATATGGTTTCTTTAACTGATAAGTTAACATTCCTGGAGAAATACATCACGGGTTTTTCAATGCTAACCATTTGGCCCGACATCTCACATAAATCCTTCAGACAATCCAACATCACCCCAAGTTGCTCAACAGAGGCTTCACCAAAGAGAAGGAGATCATCAGCGAACATCAGATGGGATATGGGAGGCCCATTTCTTCCTGCTTTTATTGGCTTCCACTTCTAACATGAAACGACTTCAGCGATCAAATGGGACAACTTTTCCATGCAAAGCACGAAAATGTAAGGAGAGATAGGATCTCCTTGCCTGATTCCCCTTGTAGCCACAAACTGTGTAGATTTTCCACCATTCCACAGAACCTAATACTTAGGAGAGGAAATACAGTTATGGATAATAATAACCAGGTTAGATGGAATACCTGCTTCCAACAAGACAGAATTGATGAAAGCCCAATTTAAACGATCGTAGGCTTTAGCAAGGTCGATCTTAATGGACATGTAGGCTTTTTTACCCGTCATTCTATTCATGGAATGGGTCAGTTCATGGGCTATGATGACATTGTCGTGTATAAGCCTGCCTGGAACAAAGCTGGTTTGAGAGGGAGAAACAAGCTTGTTCATTAATGGTTTCAAACGGTTCACCAAGGTTTTGGTTAATAGTTTGAAAAGAACATTACAAAGTGCAATCGGACGAAGTTGCTCCACCCTCTCCGGTTTGTCCACCTTGGGGATAAGAACCAGTAGTGTCTCATTGGTCTTCCCAATTTCAGTAGGATTGAGGAATAGATTTCTGATGTCGTTGCAAACTTTTTCAGAAAGGAAATCCCAATTCTTCTGGAAAAACGCCGCCGGGAAACTGTCCGGGCCAGGTGCTTTGTGGGGGCCCATCTGGAAAAGAGCCTTTGAAATCTCGCTATCTGATAAGGATCTATTCAGAAGTTGAATCTCGTCTATCTCCAAGAGCGGCCAGTTAACCAAGGTAGTCTTCCAGGGCCTTTCCATCTGCTCTTCAGAGAAAAGATGCTGATAGAAAGTGGTCACTAGATTTTTTAGGGTAGGCTCATTTCTTATCTAAATGCTTGCATCGTTCTTTAAGGCACGCATTGAGTTTCTCCTCCTCCTCGTGATGGCAGTGGTATGGTAGAACTTGGTGTTTCTATCCCCATCACGTATCCAGATGGCCCTAGCCTTATGATACCAGAGTTGTTCCTCCATGTCTAGAATACTTTCCAGCTCAGTCCTAAGGTTCCTCTCCAGAAGCTCCAAATGCCAGTTGTGACCCCTCTCAAGAGCACGCTGGATCCCAGCCAACCTACGCAAAATGGATGATTTCTTTGTAGAGATGATACCAAAGACATTAGTGTTCCACTCCCGCAAAGAAGGAATAAGCTTAGCAAGGTTAAGGGTTATGGCTGCATCATTCCTCCAATTACTAGTGAGGAAGTCTTTGAATTGGGGGTGGTCCAGCCAGGGGGGAATAGGCGAAACGGTCTATCCTCCCATACTTTGGAATCATTCCACAGCGACAGCAGGAGCGGGTTATGATCAGAAAAGGTTCGAGGGATAACTTGCACAGTTGCTTCATCGAAAGTGGTTCTCCATTGGGCATTAGCAACTGCCCTATCTAACCGTTTGTAGACACGATCTAAGTGTGCGAACTTTGGGCCCTTCCAGGTGTAGATGGGCCCTGAGCCACCCAGGTTGATCAAATTGCATTCCTCCAGCACAGACTCAAAGGCTTTGCATCTATTGATATCGACTGGGGCCCCTCCTTTCTTTTCCCCAGCTGAGATAATTTTGTTCCAGTCTCCAGCTAGGAGCCATGGTTCATTGAACACCGACTGAAGACGTCTTAGATCTTCCCAGAGTTCGAGCCTCTTTTTTATTCTAGGACTAGCATAGATAGCCATGAATAGGAAATGAGGTCTATCATGAATGGAGATCTGCATCATCACAAATTGTGAACTCTTTTCTACAAGATTAACCGAAACAGAATGATTATTCCATAGCACCCAGATGCCTCCAGAAAATCCCACTGTCTCCTCGACTATAGGTTCCTCAAAGCCCAGACTACGGATAATTGAAGCAGCCCGTGAGCCACTAATTCTTGGTTCCATCAATACAACCATATCACTCCTAAACTTCTTATTTAAGGTTCCCATGATGCCTTTAAAATGTTTTTTTTGCGGCACCACGACAGTTCCAGACGAGTATATTCATTGGATAACTGATGAGGGTGGGATGGACTTCTGGGTTCCATCGTTCCCATTATCTTTTCGTCCAGCAGGTAATTGCACATGTCTACCCAGCAAGGGGTTTCTGGAGGGGCTGTTACTGCGGGATCTGTGAGCGTAGCTGAATTCCTTAGCATAATCTCTTGGATCATCTTTATCCTCAGGTCTCATATCAGAAAGATCAAGAGATGTGATGTACCCTTTCTGCATGCACGTAATGACTTCATTAAGGACTCTATTATCTTGATCTTTGGACATATATCTCATAACAGCCAAAATTTCTTCTTCCGTGCGTCTTTTTCTGTTGAGTCTACCTCCTGAGGCATGTTTTCCACTGGGGATGGCCCCACCACATCAGCTTTGGATCTGTCTCCGTAAAAGAGGACAGCTTGGGCCCTTATGCCCTTATTAACAGCCATCCTAGAAGCTGATTCTAGGTTCTCTTTTTTGCTTTCACCTTTTTGTCCACTCTGTTGCCCACTTTTCGTTTTACCTTTCGCTTTATTGCCCAAAGCATGATTGGCTTTATCCAAAGGTTGCTGCTTTCCTTGTACCCCTTTTGTCGACATGAGGTTGGTCAACTCCTTGAGGGGAGGAGCTTTCTGAGTTTTCTAAGCCCCTACTTCCTGCATGCATGTATCCTCTTGTGCCTTTAGGTCAGTCAAAGCTGCAAACCTAGGTCTGATCCTTTCCTCGGTATTCCCACTGGCTGCTCCATTCTTCTGGTTTTGGACTCTTGTGGCTTGCTTTGCCGGAACCCTAGGCTGTTGCTCAAGCAGCGGCTGAGGGGAAGCTTTGGGTTTGCGGCCTCTTCCATGTTTTTGCACTACCATCCAAGTGCCAAAAGCATTCATGTCTTCCTTCTCAACCCTTTATGGTCCTTTTTTCTGAAATGGAGCTGCTCTCTTTGAGAGGAGCACGCTGATCTCTGCCCGTCTGGTACGTCTCTGTGTTTATACCTCCACTGCAAGATTCCTGGCGATGGCCATATTTGCCATAGCCAAAACAAATCAGATGAAGTCCTTCGTAAGCTACGTTAAGGGTCTTGCCTTCTCTGTATACTCTTTGTTCCCCCGTCAGATTTCCTAAGAGAATTTTTGTCTACTTTGAGCGTTCTTCCAAGCAAGTTGCCTATCCTCCACAGATGTTTTGAGGTATAGAGCTCTAAGGGTAAACCAGGGATGCGAATCCACACAGCAAGCCTCTTAAAATTTTCTTCATACGGATCGAACATAGGCCTCCAGCGTTGAACAACCACATAATGTTCCACCACAACCCATAGGCCCTCATGAAGCACATGGGAATAATCCTTCTCTTCATGAAAATTGACAAGGATGTAGCCATTATCCAAATCTATGACCTCGAAACTGCCAGCTAAACACCATTGCTTTATGAGTCTCGTCATGAGAAACCTATTGTTGATTTTCTTCCCCAACAGCTTTATTATTAAAGTTGATCTCCACTTTTTGCAATCTTCCTTGTGTTCACTCTTGGAGATGTGGTATATTGGGCACAATGGGTTCTTTTGGTACATGGGCACTTCCTCCTCCACCGGGTCTGCCTCTTCCTCCTCTCTCCTGAGGGAGGTTATCCAGTCCTCCTCATCGCTGTGTGCTCCGTCATCCTCTCCATTTAGTTGGAGCACAATATCCTTATAGGAGACAAGTCTCCTTCCAGGCATGGTGAACTTGCTCTGTGGACTAGTTTTTCCTGCCTCTGAGTTTTGGCTTACCTTAGATGCAGACGACAGCTCAGTCTCCTTTTCCTGTAGTGCTTCCTCCATTGAAGAATCGGTAGTTTCAACCTCATTTGCTTTTTTAACACTACGCTCCAGAAGATCAGTCTCCTCCCTTCCACTCTCTCTGCTTTCGCTTACTTCCTCCATCAGTTTTTTCGGGTGAAAGATTGATGTTTACTCAAAGCTTGAAATCATTTTTGGTAATTAGTTGACTTGTCTTCTAGGATAAGAATTGGAGAAGATGGTCTCTGAAGAAATTTGCAACAGCTTCCTTCCTTAGTGAAGTGAAGGTTTAGTTGCATCTATCAAGACAATTTGAATCAACCAATCAATGTATCCAAAAAAAAAAAAAAATCAACCAATGAATGGGTAATGCATGATGGCTATCGACTTCATGATTGTACATGGGCGGACTTTGACTCCTAGTGTCAGGCCAATCGAAGATTTAAAGCCCAATGTATGGTGGGCTAATCAGCATAGATAGAGAGATGAAAGAGGAATAAATAGATAAGACCAATAAAATTATCTTATTTTGCATGAGATAATTAAATTTTTTACAAACTTAAAAAATGAATGGGTTCCACTTTTTTTTTTCTCTCCTCTTATTTATATATTCCACTTACAATTTTATTTATACAACATAAGACAACTATTTTCCTATAACATAAGAAAATTATTTCTTATTATAAAAACACATATATATATTATTGGTCTCATAGTAATTTTTCTTAAAATTCTCAAATAATTTATGATATAACTTATATTTTCATTTGTAATAATATTAGTAATGTTGTTTATCGTCTGGTCCATTGTGGGTTAACTTAATAATATTTTAAACAGTATGTTTGACATTTCTGGAGAAAAAATAGAAGAAATCAAATACAAAAAGAAGCTAATCATATATATTACATTAGAATAAATTTTTTTCAGTGTGACTTGTTCGCATTCACACTATCTTAAAGAATGATACATGTTGTTCTCAACTCATCTTCTTTTAAATTTTATTTAAAACCTATATTTTTTAGATTCTTCCTAAATTAATTATGGAAATTCCTCTTATAATTTGTAACAATTTTTTTTCTGGAGTATCTTGTCCTTTCTAATTTACATTTTTCAAATTTTACAGAGGGAACGGATCCACTTACCACAAAAAAGTTTACAACTCTTACAACTAATTTAATCACCGTTGATTTCTGTCAATCTAACAGTTATAATTTATTGAAAAATTAATAACATTTATTGTGTCACATTTATTAATTCTCAATAAATTATAACCGTTAGATTGACGGAAATCAACGATGATTAAATTAGTTGTAAAAATTATAAACTTTTTTAGTGGTAAGTGAATCCTCGTAATAGATGGAAAATCTGTTAGTTAAATAAAATCACAAGCTTTAAAAAAAGTAGGTGATATAATTACCGGCTATGTTCACGTTATCATCTCTTAAATCCTCTCTCTCGTGTTTAATGTATTGAATATTTAGGACTTGTTTGGTGAATAGGATAAGATAAGGGTAATATATGATATGAGATTGATAAGCCTATATCATGTACTGTGTTTGATGATCACCTGATTAGCAATCTGATAAGATTATGTAGAAGGAGAAAGGAGAAAGAAAAAACAAAGCATAATGCAATAAATAAAAATATATTGGGTAGCGTGAGACTATATTGGGTATCCATTATTGATATCCTATCCTGTTGGATCCTAACCCAGCTCCCCCCATAGGATAAGAAATCATGTATTGGATATGATAAAATGAGACAATAGGATAAGCTAATCATATCCTATTGACTCACCAAACAACAGATAAAAGTAGGATATGATAAGTTATCATATCCTATCTTCTTTATCAGGTGCTCCAAACAGGCCCTTAGACGCTTTACATTTGTATTCATATATCAAACATACTAATAAAATATCATAAAAATATTTATAAAAATATTTCTGCAGTTAAAAGATAAGTTATCTGTAATTACTTTCAAAACGACGTCGTTTTGGGATTGAAAGATTAAAAAATTATAATTATAAAGACTATAATAACCCTGAAATAAATTAAAATTACAAAAACACCATGATTTTCATCGCAAAACGATGTCATATTGGACTTATTGCAAATAACAATAACTGCAAAAACCCATAAAATATACCGATCAAAGTAAGTATGAAATTCGTATGAGAAAATGTTATTGAAAAGCCAAAATTTACACCATGAAGTGTATAACGATTCCTGTTTGCACCAAAACGAACATGAAACACATGCTTTGCAAAACTCCTTAACACAATTAACAACAAAGACCGCAAGAAAATCAAGAGGTGCATTTCCTTTATTGGAATATTGAGTTGTTGACCAAAAAAAACAAAACCTGCTACTGGGTGTGCCGTCTCATTATCATGTCTCCCTCAAACATTGGGAGGAGCAACGCATGCCCCTCGATTTGTTCCTACATTTGAATGCTTCAGTTGTTAAACAGATACCTTAGAGTGATCTCATAAGAAGAAAAAACAGCACCATTCACCACAAATGCTCTAGCTAATGCAGTTCCTAAACCCCGCCACAGCACAACGTATCCTTCTTGTTTAATGCTCTTTCTTAGGCAATCCAAAATGCCTTTGTATTTCAATGAAGAAGGTGTCTGAGCCTGCAATCTTGTCTTTATAACGTCTAAAGGGTAGCTAAAAACCCAACTCACAACCCCAGCTAATCCTCCTGCTATTAACATAGTATTCAAGCTTTCTTGACAACTTTTTCTACAACCTGGGTGAAGTATTTCCCTCGTGTATTCATATGTCCAAAAGTAGAAGCCATGTGCAGGTGCATCTCTGAGCATAGTGATGCCAAATCCTCGATAAATGCCACGAATGCCCTCCATTTTCCATATGTTCTTAGCGATCATTACAGGACCTTTTTGGGTATCTGTCAATTGACCTGTGTTCTGCAGCTGAAGGCGAATTTTAATCAACTCAACAGGGGATAGCAATGTACTTTGCACAGCACCGGTACAAATTCCTCCTAAAGCAACACCCTTTAAGGAAGGAGGGTCACTAGCAGAAACGGACGGGGTGCTAAATGCCCTTGAAAGAACTGCATAAATTTGGAAAACCATGGCGTTCTGCAGCCACAAAAATAAAAGAATAACTTCAGTTGTAGTCAGCTACATTTGCTATTAAGGATCTGAGTTCATGTGGTGAAGATGAAGAAAACAAACAATAACATAGCTATGCCAAACATTTACATGGGAATAGACCAATCTTATGGGTTATCTATTAATTGTCATTTCTTTAAATTTTCGATAGCCATGACTATGGCCCGCCAAATAGAACGCACCAACCTCAAGGAGAAGTTAGCCCCATACCCTGTGCTCGTTTTCCCCACCAACCATGCCAAAAAGATGCACATACATGACTTTGAAAAGGAACTAAGCACTCCCATCAGTGAGTATATATTATATTCCAAAAGAGAGAGAAATTAAATAAAAAGTAAGTCTATGTTAAAGAATCAGTTTAAGCCAAAGGCTTAAACACTATTTGGTAAGCTATAATGCATCGAATCAATAAAGAACTACTTCAATCCAAAATCTTAAAGATCTTAAAGTGTTGATTTATAATTTTTGGTTTACCCTTATGCTTATTTAATTCTACAAGTGGAGGGCAGTGAGAATCGAACTCGTGACCTTGTGATCACTGAAACTCTAATACCATGTAAAGAACCACTTCAACCCAAAATCTTAAGGAGTTGGATGAGAGTCTTTTTAATGATTTATATTATTCTCTAACAATAGTATTTAATTATTTTTATTAATAAAATGGACGCAGTAAGAATCAAATTCTTGACCACTTAATCATATGAATATATTGCCAGACACCCGGCGAGGTGGCTTCAACACCTCCGATTGTAGTTGTAATCATAAGAAATAGAAGCTATAATCATTGTTTAAAAATCCAGCCCGGCAATCGACTCGACCGAGGTCAAGGTTCATGGGGTTACAGGTTCAACCCGGGTCACGGGATCACTCCGCTGACCCGGTTTTATATATTAAAAAATATAAATATATATATCCTATATGAAAATATTAAAAAACAAATTACCAATCATCAAATATTCAAAATATACTTAACATAATTTATTAATTACAACCACAAGTCAATATTACACAATCTAATTAAAGTATTAAGATATCAAAGTACAAAACTCATATCTAATGATACCAAAGTATCAAGATACCACAAGTTTAGGTCGCTGGGAAGGGAAAGAAGATAACGATTAGATTTAGGTTTGCAAGTATTTTTATTTTATTTTTTTTAATAAAATAATGTTGTTTTATGGAATTTTCTTTAAAAAAAATGCATCCCCTTTGACCCCTCTGACTTGAAAGTCATGGAAATTCAGTCAAATTTTGAGAGTCGAGAGATCGATGTGCATATAAGGTCTAACTTGCGACCCCAACCCTAGTAGAGAAGGGGTCAGAATTGACCCAGGTCAACCCAAAAGACAGGATGAAGTTTTAAAAGACCGACTATAACACACCAAAATCGTCAAAAAGATTGTTAGGTTGGGAGAGTTGGTGAAATAATTCACTTGCAACATACTAATGATAAGGTTGTGGTCTCCCACGTGAACAATAAAGGGATGGACCCCCATGTGATGCACTTGAGATCCAACGAAACTAGAAACACGTAACTGCATCTAAAGTTCAACAGATAAAAAGGTGCAAAATAGAGTCAAAATATAATTGAATGATGGAAGTAAAAAAAAAAGACCTGAAAGGTAACAGAGGCCAAAGGAGCACCCATGCCCCGGTAGAGAGCAGATGGTCCTTCCTTGGCCACCACATTTCTGAGGATTGTGGAGGCAGAGCCAGTTTTAGAGCTCTGTTGCAGGATGCGTAGTGTGTCCAATGGGTATCCAGAGATTATACCAGCAGTGCCTCCAAAGCCTCCTGCTACAAACTCTCTACCCGAACTGCTCGCAAGAAATTCTGGCCAAAAATCCATTACCATCTTGCTCTCACTCCTCGAACTCCCTATTGAAAATGACCCAAAATTTAAATGAGATCAATTGGCATTCACCTTCTTAAAGGGATCAAATGGTTGGTGTAAGGTGTAGCACTTCCTCACAATTCCTGAGAACAGTTGCTAATGGGATTTTCTTTACTCGGTTCTGCGCTGCTCTCCCAATCTCGAAAAAAGTTCCTACCCTTTTCTGGGAGTAGGAGTGAAAGAAAAAGAGAGAACCTTTTCAATTACATAGTTCGAAACGAAAGCGACTTATCAGTGGACCAATGAATGCTTTACACGTGGTAGACCGTAGTCATGGGTGTGATTTCAGCTAAGGGAAGGAAAAAAATTAATATATTGTATTTTAAATAAAAAATTATGAATTTATTACAGTTTTAAAAATAATTATGTATTTATTGCAGAATATCACATCCAAATTGGGTGTCACTAGTCACGTCCAAGTTAAGTGTCATCCATGAGGGAATCACGCCTAAGTTAGAGTCACTCATGTGGCGTTGACGCGTGTCATAAAAAATTTAACATTTTAACCGTAAAACTTCTAAAGTTTAACTTGGGTATTCGAATCAGGTAATTTTTTTTTGATTCCACATAACTTTTCGAGATCTACGCAATGACACCTCATTTGACATATTTTATCTCTCACAAACACAATTCGAATTTGCAACAATGATACTTTTTTTTTATAACGCAACAATGATACTATAAGAGCATTTAAACTCAGAAGCCTTCGAGTTATTTTGGAACCAACACCAAACACAATCTTCTTTTTAAAAAGAGTAAATACCTTTTTTCGTCCTCAAGAAAAAACACAGGGTCCATTTTAAGGGAAATGATATTGTAACAACCAATTAGTGTTATTACCGGTCAATTTCACCGTTAGTTCGATTATGTTGATCCAAAGGTTATATTTATTTCCATCTTTGTATGGTTATGATTCTCATATTTAATATTTTATATTTATTTTCACCTTTGTATGGTTATGATTTCCTATATATAATACTTTCACATTAAATATTGGAAATCATAACCATACAAAGATGAAAATAAGTATAATCATTGAATCAACACAATCGATCTAACGGTGAAATTGATTGATGGTAACATTGGTAGTAACACTAATTGGTTGTTACAATATCTTACCCCCTATTTTACTCTATTAAAAAAATCAACTTGTGGTCCCTTACAATTTTAAAATAAACCCAATTAATTGAAATCGTGGTCCTTCAAAAATTCAAATAAGACCCATGTAATTTTTTTGGCTTGGAAGTTCGAACCAAGTGCTTTTTTTTATTCCACATAATTGTTCGATATCTACGCATTGGAAAATTTTTGGAGAATTATTTCTTAATGTTGGGAAGTAAAAATTTAAATAACATCATTCACAAAGATGAAATATGCCAAAGGGGCATCCAATTGCAGGTTTTTCATGAAACATGCTTTGATAAGAGGGTTTGAGGTGCTATATATGTTTGTAATAATGCATAAGAACATATTTTTCGTGCAATATATCAAAAGTTTTGCATTTTTTAATGCAACTTAAAGAACATTATATTCTCATCAATCTCTCTCATACTTTTATATTGTGGCACTTTCTTTTCTCACAATATTATAAACTATTTTTTTTCAAACATTTGGCCGAAAGTATATATTTTACTATGACATTAAGTATTCTTATTTATAAATGGACTAATTCACTTTGGTGTCATCATTAATTTCAGACCATGACTTACAAGATAAAGTCTCATTGTTGCAAATTCAAATTATATTTGTGAGAGATAAAATATACCAAATGAGGTTTCATTGCGTAGATCTCGAAGAGTTATGTGGAATCAAAAAAAGAATTACTTGATTTGGATACACGAGTCAAAAGTTATGGCCTTTAGAAGTTTTACTGTTAAAATGTTAATTTTTTGTGACACGTGTCAACATCACATGAGTGACGCCTAACTTAGGCGTAACTCCCTCATGGGTAGGGGTGTTAACGGGCCGAGCCTAGCCGAGCTTTGGTCTTAAAAGGCTAAGCCTGTGTTTAAATGTGTCAGCCTGACCAAGCTTGTTACCTGTTATGAATATAATTTCAGCCTGTGGCCTGTCTTATTTACAAAAAACTAAAGCCTGATTTAACTTGTTAGCCTGTTTAAAACAAAATAAGACAACAAAAATTTATCCAAACAAAATATACAGTCAACAACATTAGTAATTCCATAAATATTCATAAATTTAATGTATATCCAAACAACATAATATAAAACAAAATTGTTCAAAAAATTTGTTTAATTAATAAAATGGGATGAAATGGATTGATGAGAGAGAGGGCTATCACAAGTAGTATAAAAAAATATAAAATAAAAATAAAAATTAATATATTAGGCCAACCTGAGAAGCTCTAAGGCCGAGCTCTTAAATTGGAGCCTGAGGCCTTTTTATCAAACGAGCTTTTATACAGGTCATAGCTTGCTTCCAACAATCAATTTTAGACATAAAAGCTTAGGCCTTCACGAGCCGAGCCAAAGGCCCCTGTCTCGTTTAGCACCCCTACTCATGGGTGACGCCTAACTTGGGCGTGAGTGGTGACGCCCAATTTGGGCGTGACATTGTGCAATAAATGCGTAACTATTTTCAAAACTGTAATAAATTCGTAATTTTTTTATTTAAAATACAATATATTAATTTTTTTTGCCGCTAGGGGAATAAATCTTTGGTGTTACTGTTGCACCAAAGATTCAGTACATCCCACCAATAGAAATATTTCATGTCAGCTAAAGTTTTCTTTTCTCTGCCAAATTTTTTCTCTCTCCTATGATGTGTAATGCTCTCATTGGTGGGATGCATTGAATCTTGGTGCAACAGTAGCACCAAAGATTTATTCATCGAAAATCAAAAAATCGAAAAAAAACCGCAAATTTTAATTGGATTGAATTGGTAGATAAAAACTGATCCAATCCAAATCGATCCAATATATTAATTTTTCTCTACCTATTGGGTCTTTCTCTAATCATAGCCCAAAAATTTCTAAACTCAAGACCCATTAATCCATCAACTAAACCTAAGAAAAAACTTAGTAACATCTCATCAACAAAATTTCATCGACGTAGGGTTTCATATCTCATTGTAAAAAAAAAAACTAGATTATCGTTTACTAATGCTTTTGTATTTAAAAAAAAAATTACAAAGCCAATATATACAAAAGATGTTATTTGCATAATAATCATGAAACAAATTTTAGGATTTTCAAAAAATCGAAAACGGATCCAATCCAAACTCAAAATAATTGGATTGGATCGGATTTGAAAAAAAATCCAAATCGAATGGATGATTACATGATCAATCTGAAGGGATTGAATCATATGATTTTTGCTTCCAAAATCAATCCAATCCAGACCGCGAACAACTTTACTTGCGACCAAACACAGGGAGATGGATTTTTATAGTTTTCTTTAATCCTTTGTTTTTCTTTCCTTTGCCATGTTTGGCTAGTTTCTTTTATAGTTAGGGCTAAATGGAACGCTTTTGGATTTTGAATTAATTAACTTTTTTCTCTCAATTAATGTTCATTTTTTCATGTTGCACAACTATTATGCTTCTCACTCTTAATTCTTTCGTGAATTGGCCAATTATAGAAGAATACTTGAGTTATGCATGACATTAGGGATGTCGGTTTATGTTTCTGATATGAATAAATTGCCATATTTTGTTTGATCTAAGGATAAACTAATAGCTCTTAATGCTCGATCTAAGGGGGATTGCCAAGGAATTAAGATTCTTAATAGGTCAAAGAATTGAAATACCAAGGACTTTAGTTTTAATTAATTTAGAGATGAATTGTTCAACAACATAAGTTTAAGGGCTTTATTACTCTCTTTTCATATGAGATAACTTCTCTCATGTTCTCTCACTTTTATTTTCGCACCCTCTTTATTTTTTTCTTGTAATGGTGAGACCCGTCTATCTTCTCTCTACAATATAAAATAGTTATCTTCTATAAGAGGAGAGTAATATTTCCCTAAGTTTAAATGTTATGTGAGAGGGGAAATACATTAATTAGGAGGAAATTGGGGAAAATTAAAACTCTAATTGCGTATTCCATTCTTAATTTTCAAACCAATTTTTAATTTGAATTCTTTTCTCTGCACGTAATTGTTGTTTGGAAATTGGTCCTTTATAGCTATTATTCAAATCAATCTCATAAAACCCTTTCCAATTAATCCAACTTTAATAAATTGATAAACATAGTGCTGGGTTGTTGAATTCTCGTGAAAATGATACTTTTTCTCATCACTTGACTTTATTACTTGTGCCGTTAATACACTTGCCGTGATAAGCAACAAATTGCTGCATGAAGCACGAACGGCAAAGCATTCAAGCTGCTTGCCTTCTTCTGCCATTCGCTCGCTTCGATCATAATGACTAATATTGAAGCACGGGTAACAACAACCACTAGAATTTAAATTAAACATATTTTTGAATATACAAGTTTTGCTACACACGTATACAACCTTATCGTCGTGCAGAATGACGTGTTCACTTTAGAATAAAATTATCGTTACTACCACAACTTTCAAACAATCTTGGAAAAGAGGATCTCCAGAAACCTAGTTTATGAGAACATCATCCCCAAATATTTCAGCCATTATCTTTGCAGTTAACATGTTGCAGTCGTTTTCGCCGTGGAATATTCTGCCTCCGTATTGATTGAAACATGCCAATCTATTTCAACTGGCAGAACATGGTTTGCTGTGTGACTTCATTTTTGTATTATGCATTTTTTTATTATTTACAAAAATTGAAATAATTAGACAAATTTAGTATATATCGTTCTCCAAGAGAAAGTGCTTACACTATTGGAGTTAGTTTCACGAGAGAAGAATTTAGGAATTTTCACAAAACCCTTCTTGTTCTTAAAATTAAAGTTCTCTTAATTTGGGATTCTTTCCATTCCTCTCTCTCTTGAATCTCTTCCCCTCCAAAAGATTTGG